TTTAAGATAAAAGGCTGATTCCAGATGAGCTTCAGTGCCCTCAGCACAATGTACAGTGCCTTGGAAATGAGGGCACACACTCAGGGAGGAAAATCTGATAAAATGACATAGTGTAAAAGGTTTCTTGTGTGAGATACAACTGAGAGAAAATATGCAGTGTCTAGTTAAGTCAGTTCTGAGCAAAGGTCTTTATGAAGGAACTGCTTTGATATGTTTCTGGTTTCTACTTTCAAAACTAATCATCCGAATTATATAAGCTCATAGAGTAGCTTTAAAGAGTCAAATTTTCTGAACAAAGTAGCTAGGATTGCTTCATTTTCTGGCCTTTATTTTGACCTTCATAATTAAGGGGAACATAGAAAAATCATTAAGGGTTTATATTACTAACATAAATGATTTCAAATTTGATTATAAAGTTTTTAAAAACGGAAAAGGGGTTGATATTACTTAAAATAAGATGAGAAAAAGTGTGACTAACTTCTTACCTTACTTATGTGAAAAGCTAATTAGGACAGGTCTGACTCAGTAGCTTGTCAAGTGGGAGGGCTTAAGTCTGTCTGAAACTAATGAACTTTCTTTTTGTAAAATAATTACATACTGATATGTACAAGCTTATTAGAATCTTAAATATCTTAAGAGTGGAGTAGTCTACTCATGGGTATGATTCTTTGTGATCTATTATGGGGCAGTCTGTATGGCCTGTTTGTTATTTTAAGTTTCTATATTTTCCTTAAAGCATTATCTTAAGGTAATGTTTGTAGATGAACAAAATATTATATATCCTCAAATAATTTCAAATAAGAGAGAAAAAATTAAGGAAATATCATTGGATTTGGAAAAAGTGTTTTAAGGAGTAGAAATATCTATTATAATAGATAGAAGGTACATATAACCAAAAAATAACTTTTCCTTGGTAAATGCTAATGTTTCCTAGATTGTTACAGAAATTAGTGACTACTTGCCTTTGAACTAGATACCTATTTGAGTGCTATACTGGAGATGTAGCAGATACCTATTTGAGTTTTAATCTAATCACTTAGACTATATATTTTAAGGAAACATTATTACTCACTGAAAATATAGTCAGCTAAAATTCAGAGCACCGTTTCTTTTTTTTTTCTTTTTTTTTTGTCTGAACAAGCTATAAAAATGACTGGAATGATTTTCATTCCCCAGATGGTATTCATCATGTGATATTCATGCTCTGAAAACATGTTTCTATAGTCATAAAGCCACTTCTAGCTCTTAGTTAAGGATGTTTTATATAAAATATTCTCATTCTGAATCTGCTGTACTTTGAGAATGGTATGCGTTGTCACAGTTTAGTAACAAATATATCCAGGCTTCTAGTAATATGTCTTGGCTCTTGAGCCTGTTAAATTAGTAAATTCCTTTGGTGATGTAGAAAGGACATGCTGCCACTTACCCATTGGTAATACAATCTGAGCCAGGGTTTTTACTAAGAAACTAGGAAGGATTCTGCATATAGTGTTTTCATTCAGCTTAACAAACATTAATTGATCATCCATTATTTGGCAGATGATGATATACCTGCAGAAATCTAGGGATACAGAAACAGTACAGTCTTACCTCTATTTCAGAGGAACTTACGGTCAATGTCTGAAGAGCATCACATATTCCATATATCAACTCTTTTAATACGATGGTTTTATCATACTTTATCATAGTGATGAATTGCTATGGTCAAAGCAATAACAACCTGAAAGAGGTCAGTGAAATAGGAATTAAGTGGTTATGAGAAATGTTTCAGAGGTGAAATGATAGAAGTTATTAACTGATGAAATATAAGATGGGTTGGGAGGCTATCAGAGAAAGTGAGAAATCAGGCATGTCCATGAATCTTGGCTTGCACAAGTTGGGTAGACAGAGATTCCATTAACTAACATGAGAAAGTGGAGAGAAGGGACACATTTCAGGTACGGGCTAAATAATTCCATACAGTGGGATCCTTTTGATTTTGAGGTTTCTAATTTTGTCTAGCAGACTTGAATATATGGCTTTGATTCTACAGGTATTTTGATATTAAAGGTGAAGACTTGGGGAATCATTCATGTGGCAGGTATTAGTTGAATTCATGGGGATGGATAAAAGAGAATCTAATAGAAGCGAGTATAATGAGAAGAAAAACTGGCTGAAGACTGAGCGTTTAAGCATTGGATAGTGGGTTAGACCTTCAAATTATGTAGAAGAAGAGCAGCTAGAGAGGTAGAAGTACACAGCCGAGAGTGTTCTAACGGAGCGTTGGAAGCAACGGATTCCAGAGGAAAGCAGTAGCAGCAGTTTCAAATGCTACAGAGATGTTTGGTCGCATGAAGACTTTAGTTTATGCACTCCAAAAAGATGATTCATTCCGTCCGTCCTTCCATGTAGTCATTTAGCCAGGCAGCGCTGTACTGGAGATGCAGCAGTAAACAAAATAGACAGAAGTTCCTGCCTTCATGGGGCTTGTTTTTTAGTGAAGGGAAATCACCAGTCAGGTAAGTAAATAGGTGTATGGTGTCACTTGAGGAATGGATGACCTCGCTGACAAAATGACATTTCAATAAAAATGTGAAGGAGAGAAGTCCTGTGGGTAGGAAGCATTTCAGACAGAGGGAACAATCGGTATAAGAGTCCTGAAGCAGGAGCACGTCTGGAGTATTTTGGGAACAGCAAAGGACAGTGTGGCAGGCAGAGTGAGTGAAGGAGAGGCATAGCAGATGAAATCAGAAGGTAACGGAGGTCAGATCATGCAGGGCTCTGTAGGCCGTGGGAAGGACTTCTGCTTTCAGTCTGAGTGAGATGGAATGCTGTGAGGAGGTTTGGAGGAATGTCTCATTTAAATGATCATTTTAACAGGCTCGTCGGGCTGCTGAGTAGCGAATAGACTGTAGAAGGTAAAACCAGTAAGTAGAATATTATGTTAATCCAGTTGAACAATTATAACATTTTTGACTAGCTGTGAGGTTGGTAAGAAATAGTTGAATTTGGGTTATATTTTGAGTGTAGAATCAATATGATCTGCTGAAGAATTCGATGTCATGTTGAAACAAAGAGGCAAGGATGATTTCAAGATTTTTGGACTGAGCAACTGTAATGATGAAATTGGAGATAGAGACTATGGGAAAAAAAATCAGACCTGGGTACTGGACATGTTTAATTTGAGATGTCTATTAGCTATAAAGGTGGAAATTACAAGAGAGCAGTCAGAAGTTCTGGAGTGAGCTGTGGACTGGAGAGAGAAGGTCAATGGTTCTCAACTTTCCTAATGCCACAGTGTATTTTCATTGATAAAAAGGGGTTGCCCCACAGGTTGATAGCTGCTGAGTTATACATGGTTTGTAAGGTCATGAAACTAGATGACATTAAAGAGTGAATGTAACTAGAAGATTTAAAAGGTCTATTTCTGGCTTGGCTCCTGTAGCATGGTGGTTTTGGTGCTGGCCACATGCACTGAGGCTGGTGGGTTTGAACCCAGCCTGGGCCAGCTAAACAACAATGACAATTACAACAACAACAAAATAGCCAGGCATTGTGGTGGGTGCCTATAGTCCCAGTTACTCAGGAGGCTGAGGCAAGAGAATTGCTTTAGCCCAAGAGTTAGAGGTTTGCTGTGAGCCGTGACGTCACGGCACTCTACCAAGGGTGACATAGTGATATTCTGTCTCAAAAAAAAAATAAAAATAAAAAAATAATAAAAGGTACACTTCTGAATGTGTATGGGCCAAGAAGATGAAGAAGACCTTTTGATTTAAGCATTCCCCATTGTATATCAAATCATTACATTGTACCCCATAAATGTATACAGTTATGCTTTAGTAACAAAATTAAATTAAAAAAAAAAGAAAACTATGCAAAAACGACTGAGGAGGAAACAATGAAGTAGGAAGAAAACTGGTTTGTTTAATTTGTCAGATAGGCTATTATTGGTGAATTTACTAAGATTAGTGTCAGTAGGGTGGTAGGAATGTAAGCCAAGACGTCAGTGGGTTGGATAGGAAATGGGAGTTGAAGATGCTAAAACAGTGATTATATATTGCTAGCAAAATACGTTTGGTGGTGAGCAGAAGCCAAAACATGATGGGTATCTCAAGGAAGATAGAGAATCAAGAATTGACTATATTTTAGAATGGGGGAGGCATTTTGATAGGTAGAAGGGACAAGAAATATGGCATGGCTGAGCAAGAGAAGGACATTTCCAGAGCATCATTGTACCTTGGTTTGGAATGATGGAGAATGTACTTTCCACCCAGGAAGTAGAATGATGGAGTTACCATACGTAATCTGAGAAGAAGGTAGACTTCTGGTGGCTTTCCATCCATTCTTACTTAAAGCAGAGGTCTTTTCTACTGAGGCAGTGGG